CTGTTGTTTTAATTCTCCAAAAAACCACAGAGTACCAATCCTCACCTACTGGTCAGTCTCTTTCTTCTCCTTGTACTATGTCTAGAGGCAAACTTATGAAAAGAAAGGCTCGAGCTTTTGAAAAATCAAATTTACCTCAAGCGCGAGTTTGAACCGCTTTAACTTTCTGAGCTCCTTCACAACTTTGGAAATCTCCCATCTTTTTATTTTCCTGCCCTCATTTTCAATCCGACTCAACACTGCAGCAGCCCCCGAATCCGAGTTTTTCAGCATATATACTTTATTGAAAATATCCCCCCAATTCTGAAAGGCCCTCCTCTCGTAGTCAACTGTTCCGCGGCTGTTACCCTGCGGTGTCGATGAACAAGTAACAAATACTGCGTTTTCGTCATGGGTTTTATAGCCGGTGTATTTCACAAAAAAAGTCGAATTCTGAAGGAGCCCAGATGAGAATGAGAGCGCGTTTGAAGCGTAAACATTGCCGTGATTCTGTTTGGGATAATTTGGAGGAGGTTTTGGGATGGTGGGTTGGAGAAGCATGGCGCTGTGTGATTGTGTGAAAAAAAATCTGGGGCGCATGTTGTATAGTTGGATAAAATTTGGATATTATTTCAGAAGATAAGAAAAGCCATTTTTCTTGATTTCTTAGGTATTTTTCATAGTTTTTGTTTTCGAATTTTGGATATACCCCTCAAGTTTGTTCTATTTTGAAAGAACCCCATAAAAGTTTATGTTCTATTTTTGGACTCGAATTCGACAGATCTTTCTTGTTTTCCTTGAATAAGTTGAGGTGACTTGTATATGCAAGATGTCATCTAAGGGTCCATCCTACATAAAGCTCGAAATCTTCGAGCGGCTAAACAAAACGAGCTACTAATGAGTTTGACTCAATTCGGTAAGGATTGAGATAGTTTAGTAGCGAATTGAGCTCAGCTCGATAAAACTCCCTAAGCTTAGAAAGAAGATTTTTTATATATTTTCTACAACTTGACTCTTTAATATTGATAAATGATATATTCTCAAACTCGATTACTGGCTCGTTTAGTTAAGAGTTTGACTCACTAAAAGGTTGAGCTCGAGTACTAATGGCATGATTGGTAGAAAGGAATGACATGAGAATGAAATGATCATTTACTTACTCATTCCTTATTCTATAATTGCTATATTTTTTTAAATGGAATGACCATTCCAATGAGAATGGCAAAATCCATCTCCATGAGATTAACCATTCCATAGTTAATGGAAAGTTTTCTCATTCCCATGTGTGTAGGAATCAATTTTTCAGAAAATAAAATTAACATATAATAATAAAAAATAAATATATAATATATATTATAAATCATGATTAAAATATATTAAATAAAATATTTTACAAAATAAAATTCAAATAAAAAAATTGAAAACTTACTTTTATTTATTGTTTAATTAGATATATTAAATACTTATATAAAAATAAAACTAATAAAAGTATTTATATATAATTTAAAAATATATTATTTTATATTTATATATTATTAAAAATATATTATTTTTTATATATTAAAAAATATTAAAAATATATATTATTAAAAATATATTACTTTTTATTTTTATATATTATTAAAAATATACTATCTTTTATATATTAAAAATATATTACTTTTAAGAATATATTATTTTTTATATATAATTTGAAAATATTTTATTTTATTTTAATATATTATTAGTAGTATATTATATTAAATTTATATATTATTAAAAATAAATTATTAAAAATATACTCCCTCCTTTTTTTAATAGATGTCGTTTTGAGAAGTTGCACACTAATTAAGAATATTTTTTTGTCAATAATAACCCTCATTAATGAGGATATAGATGGATGTTTTGAGAAAATATAAAGAGTAAATATGAAAAAACGTAGTGTATTTATTAGCTAGATAATAGTAATAATGGAAAACCTAGTACCGTGGCCCGTGCAAATGCACAGAATAATTTAAAATAAATCAACATAAACAGAGTAAATAATTTTTATAGACNTGATTTTGTTGATATAATGAATAATTTATGTAATAGATAGACTATATCTTTTTTTTTTTATTTAACAAATTACAAATCAATAGATCTTATTTGAAGCTGAATTTTTTTTATATGGCCTCTATTATTTTCAATATTATAGAGAAAGAAATAATGGTTAACTTCTCTCATTTTTTTTTTTTTTTGTCCTTAAAAACTTTGCACATATGTTCTCTCTCTCTCTCCCTCTCTCTTTAAAATTCATGGATTTTCTCTCAAAATTTTGTTGCCACTTAAACAATAAAGATCCTTCTCTTTACTTCTTCATTATGTTATATGTTATGTGCCAGAACCATTATATGGTGTAATTTATTTATTTTTCTCAATATTATGTTACCTTATCATGTTAACATCATTATCATAGAAATTAAAAATTGAGGTTATAAATATTAGCAGTTGTATCATGTGAACATATACACAAACTCAATTTGCTAGTTTATCTAAATCGTGGTAGTTGTGGAACTCCAACTTCTCTACGATTTCACCGGTACTAATTCACTTATCTTAAAACTGAAAATACATTTATGCACTATTAATATGTAGGACGATCTTTTATCAAATTTTTGTTATGCTTTAACATTTTCGTTTTTTTATCCTATTAGAATTCTAAACATTTTTTTTTACTGGTATTAAGACCAATCTCAAGTTACTTTTTTATTAAAAAAATATTATTTTTTAGAAGAAAAAATCCCTTCTAATAGCTTGTGTGGTTTTATAATTTATATCGTAATTTTACTTATTAATATTATTTTCTATACATGTAATTGCAATTTCTTTATTTGTAAACCATTCTTTTATGTAAATAAGTACCATATTATTATCTGGTATCTTCATATTTTTAGGAAGTCTTTAAATATAAATTATTATTTAATACACATCATAAATAATTTACCGTGATTCAACATGTTATTTACATGTAAAAAGAAAATTACTTTGATATTTATGAGAAATCAAAACAGAAAATACATTTTAAACTGTCTATCTATAAATGACAACAAATTTAGGTCCACTATAACTATTAAACTATTTTTAAAAATGAAAAAAAAATAATTAACGCAAGGTGAACATTGAACACGTTTAAGAAAATAATAAAAAAAGATTGAAACTAACTTTCTATAAATAGTAATATGATGAGGGACCCACTAAAATATTTACTATTTTTAGCAATTGTGTTGCCTAATATAGTAAATAGATATGTACAAAAGATCCAAAACGTCATTTATTTAGACAATTGTTGATAAAGCCAAAATGACATTTATAAAAAAAGGAGGTAGTATTATTTTATTTTTATATAATATTAAAAAAAGCATTTATATATAATTTATTAAAAATATATTATTATTAAAAAAAGCTTTTATTTATTTTTATGATAAAAAATGATAATGTCATTCCATTCAGGTCTTATTCCTTCTGCCGATTCAATGACAAAACTTGTTTCATTCAATTCCCATAATCATTCTATTCTTCAATTCATTTCATTCCTACGAAATTTCATTCCATTATACCAATCATGCCATAAGAGTTTTAATTGTCTGATTACACACGCTAATGCACCTACTGTGTTGAGAGTGCTGATCCAACAATTCAAATCCCAACATAGTGCCTTTAGTGAAGGATGAAGTTCACACTTTTAAGTCTAAGCATTGGAAATTTGGAAGAATAACTACAATCATTTTAGCCTTTATTACCTTTTAGTTTCTATATTTCTCTTCTATGCTACAAAATCCATTTTTAATGAGATTTCCAGTAATTAATTGTTGGATGTATATTCTACAATTAACGGCAAAATGAATATATGAATGTTTGTGTTGCTTTCATTTTTCTTTCATGATATATTGTGATCGGGATGAGATTTTTAAGCATAGACAAAAGAACAAATCAAATCCATGAACATAACTGGTCGAGCAAAGCCCTTCAAGGCATGAAACAGTTTGAATTTTCAACTCATTCAAATCTCAATGTGTGAAGGGAACCACAGTTGTCTTTGTCACAATACAATCATATTTCTTTGTTTTAAAAGATATATATTTTGATAAAACAGTACTAAAACATTACTTCAATAGGTAAAATAATAATAGTTTCACATATTATGAAATTTTTTAGAGACAATCTGAATGCTACTGATTTTTGTACATCATCCACTCTTACAAAATCGTCACACGACTTCAAACCACAGTATTCTTCCTGCACGAGACGAGTCATCTAAGAATTTTCAAGCTTTGATTTTGGGTTTAGAATACATGATTTTCTTTAGCAGATGTCTATTTTTTTATTTATTTTTTTTTCATTTTTTTCTTCTTTGCAGTTATTTCCTTTTACCCTTTTATTTTCTCACAATTGGGAGTTCATTACAGCAAGTGGAGTCTGGAGTTTATTTAGGCTCTTACCTCTTCAGCCAGAAATTAGCACCCGGGCTAGCTTCTACTGTATATTTCATCATATTTCGTGTTTCCATGGACGAACACCTTGGGGATTTTGACCTGTTGTGTTGTACACAGAGAAGTAATAGTTAAGTCAATACAGTTAAAAACATGACCAGCCAAAAGTAAGAAACAAAATGATTCATTATTTTGAAACTTAAGTGAATGTTTGAAGCTAAAAGGAAATAGAAATATAAAGCATGGGTCTGAGAAGATATATTAAGGAAGAAGAAAGAAATTCCAATACACAACAAAAAAAGGAAAAATCTAATGCACAAAAACAAAAAGATATTTTAGATACACTTATACAAGATAAATCATGAAGACAGAGAAAGATATATTAAGCATCTCCCAGAACAATACCCCATTCAGCCACAACTCTTGTTCAAAACCGAGTCGAACCAAAAAACCTCAAACTCAGGCCATAACGATCTCCTCCATGGGACCGAACCTACAAGCATTGTAAGCCCTGTAATGTATGATTGTAATAATCGATATCATCAGATAACAGTATCTCAAGGCATAAAAGATGTACAAATAGTACGGTCAGGACACAAACCTCAGCTATCCATCAGGATAATCAACTTCCAGCAAAGAAATTGATCTAGACTGAAGTTGATTAAGAAGACTTGGTTAAGAGAAATGAACAAACCATCAGCTTATAGCAGAGCATCCGAACATTAGAATTTAGAAACATGATACTCTAAACAGGCAGATAGCCATTAAACAACTTTTTCACGAGCAAATTATCATCTAAGGACATAAATTTCTTTTTTACCAATATATATGTAATTTAAATGGAGCCTAGAATTTCGAAGTAGCTAAATGAAATACATAATATTTCTTTACTACAGGAAAATATAAAGCACCTCCAGCGTAATTTATATGCTAACATGCTAAGTCATTGGATCAGTTTATTTAAGTATCAATTACGAAATGGCTAAATAGGATTTTGCGAACCAAGCAGATGACAAAAGACAAATGACAAAAGTTTCTTCTGAACAAGCTAGAGATAGAGAGGAACAGCAAATTAAGAGCAATAGCTCTAGGCCCAGAGGTGCAGCAAGTAACAAGATGTCACGTCTGAAGATAATGGTGGCCAAAAGATATAAGATATTAGCCTAATTAGACCTTACCCGTGTAGACACTGCCCAAACCAGGTTCCGAGCTGTCGAATTACACGCTTGTGCGAGTGTGAATCAATCCAACAGCTTGGAACCCACCCATAGCGGTAGAGTTTCACTCTGCCGACATTACATCTATCTAGGTTAATCTTTTAGAGCTTTTTTTTTGTGGCATTAATTGGTTCTTACTTTTGTAGAATCAGAAGTTTGATAGTTTATTAATCATATAAAAGCTATTATCCTTTTAACCATAAATTGTACTTTTTTGTAAAATAATTTATCTGTGCATAAGAATTGAGATGAAACACCATTTCTAATTGAACATATATAATTTCTCAGAGCTTGTCCATGCAACAAGAACAAAACATATAGTACAAGCCAACCTTTTACAACTTATTTTTACACACAGACACATGCACATACACAAACCACCAAAAAAAAAAGATTTGTAAAAGAAGAAGAAATGGAGCACAAAACAATATGAAAAGCAAAAATACACAGAAATATCAAAACCACACAAATGATTTGAGTTGTTTCGCCATACTCCTCCTTCATGTAATGCAGCTCGATAATGTTTCATCACAACTCCATTTCATTTGAAAAAAAATCAGTCTTTTTAGTTTTTACCAAAAAAAACCAGCCACTACAACAAACAACACGCCAAAAGATAATTTCTCAGAGACAATGTACAAACCTTGGACATCGAAAAACCATATTCGAACATGAAAACTACACACAGACGATCCCTCACAAGCTTTCCTGCAGTTTATCGAGACGCACAAAATTTCCATCCTAACCCCCACCAAACTTGTCACCACCCAACAAAGGTATATTCGAAATGTAAGCTGCATCATCGAGACACCCCACCTGCCTCAAGATCTCCAACAACGACTCCTTAGCCACCGCATCATCACTTTTCTCCACAATCTCGAGAATTTTGGACACATTCTGATGCCATGGCTTCCAGCTTCCTGACACATTGGCCGAGGCCGCATTTTTCAGGCAAGAAAGAGCCTCGGGGATCCTCATATTTGCAATGTGGTCCTCCGAGAGTATCTCCCATGTAAACGGGCTGGATTTCCTTCCCATCTCCGTCATTTGGTCGAATAAAGTCTCCGCCTTTTTGGAAAGGCCGTCTCTCAAATAAGCGCTCAAAAGCAGATTACCTAACCGCGGGTCAAAATCTGATTTTACCGAAAGCCACTCGTCATACATCTTCTCAGCACCCTCGATGTCATCCGATTGGATAAGGGCTGAAATCACCGCGTGATACCCCATGTTGGGGATATTTACTAACGAGTCCTTGTAAAGGTTCCATATTCGGTAAACCTCCTCCTTCCTGCCCATAGTGCCATACAGGGTAATGAGATAGTAGTAAGGCCTACGGTCACGGCCCATAATCACATCCTCGAGTTCCCTTAGACACTCCTCGGCTTTCTCCAGGAGACCCGATTTAATATACATCGTGGCCAACGTGTTGAAAGTTGACCAGTTTGGATCTATGGAGTTGTCGAGCTCCATCTGCTGATAAACTTGCTCCATTTTATCCAGGGAGCCTTGGGACGCACAGGAAGAGAGCCATATGTTGTAGGTATAGATATTGGGCGATATCCCTTTCTCCATTACTTCTGATATTAATGACTCCACTTTCTCGTGGTCTTTGAGGTTCATGTAGACCGTCATCATCACATTGAAAGGGAGGATGTTATTGGCATAGTTTCTGTTTCTCATTTCGTCCATTAGGGACTCGGCTTTTTCCCTCATCATTGAGCGGGCGTACGCATTTAGAAGGGAGCCGTATATTTTATTGTCCATTGAGGCGCTTGGAATTTTTTTGAAGTATTGTTCGGCGCTCGAGACACCGTGCACTTTCGCGATGAGGTCGAGTTGGATGGCAGCATCGCTGGAGGTTGTTGTGAACCTATGTGGCCTGTTATTCATCCATTCATATATCTGCAAAAGGCACAACGATTGGATGCTAGAATTGAAGAAAATGACACGGTAAGAGGCTAGAGTGGCTCAATAGTCATATATATATATATAAATAATACGAAATTGGCTTCAAAGCATTTGCAATTTCAAGAAATGCCCAAGGACAACATATCCCTATTCAAACCCACTACACCATTCACTCAAGGAAAAAAAAGGAAAATAAAAGAAAAATAATTTGGACAAAGTAAAAATAAAAATTCCAGTTTATTTTTGGCTTTTGATTATGCCCAATGTTTTCAACCCCATATGTTTCTGGCCCCATGACCTGATCCTGATTTGTGTACCAAGTGATGGCATAGACATTACTCTAACAGGCTCAGAAAGCTAGTAACCTAATGATTCAATTTTGTAAGTTAAAAATTAACACACATAAGCAGTACTCTAGTTTTTTTCAGTTCCAACCTAGCTCATCATACCCACGCTTGGCAAGGACTTCAGTATGAAGCTACACGCCAAAATTAAAAGTTGCAAAACCCAGGTAACTTGCTCCATTATATAAAAGCAAAAGCTTTATCTATCCAGCTCAATATAATCCAAAACAACATTTCTTGCTTGATAGTAGACCATCAATAAAACCAAAGCATATGAGTTGACCTTGGGAGTCCTGATGGATGGAAGCAGAAGCTAACTATTACTTCAACTCTACATAATTTAATGCCGCCAGGAGTTTCTCAAGAATTTTATAACTCCTCATGATTCTCAGAAGATATTTAATAGATTTTTTTTTTTTTTTTTTATTGAACAGATCATCAAGGACTGTTTTTTTAATTCTCCAGAAAACCACAGAGTACCAATCCGCACCTACTGGTCAGTCTTTTTCTTCCCCTTGTTCTACGTCGAGGGGCGAACTTACGAAAAAAAATAAAATGCTTGAGCTTTTGGAAAATCAAATTTACCTCAAGCGCGAGTTTCAACCGCTTATGCTTCCTGAGCTCCTTCACAACTTTGGAAAGCTCCCATTTTGTTATTTTCTTGCCCTCATTTTCAATCCGACTCAACACTGCAGCAGCCCCCGAATCCGAGTTTTTCAGCATATATACTTCATTGAAAATACCCCCCTTATTCAGCAAGGCCCTCCTCTTGTAGTCAACTTTTCCGCGGTTGTTAACCCGCGGTCTCGATGAACAAGTAACAACCACTGAGTTTTCCTCATGGGTTTTATAACCGGTGTAAAACATGGATTCTTTCAGAAAAAAGGGCGAATTTTGAAGGAGCTCAGATGAGAATGAGAGCGCATTTGAAGCGTAAACATTGCAGTGATTCTGTTTGGGATAATTTGGAGGAGGTTTTGGAATGGTGGGTTGGAGAAGCATGGCGTGTGTGATTGTATGAAAAAATTTCTATGGCGCAGGTTGAGAGTTGGACAAAATTTGGATATTATTTTTCTGAAGATAAAAAAACCATTTTTCTTGATTTCTTATGTATTTTCCATAGTTTTTGTTTTTTAAATTTTCAAGTTTGTTCAATTTTGAAAGAACCCGACAAAAGCTTTTGGGTGTGTTTGGATTAAGACTGCAAACGAGTCGAGCCGAGGCGAGTCGAACATTACCTTATCGAGCAGGATTGATTTTTTTTTTTAGCTGCTCGAACTCGACTCAATAGAAAAATACAATATCTCGAGCTCGACTCGAATTCAAAATGCTCGAGTTCGACTCGAGTTCGGTTTGAAAATTTTCAAACAACTTTGTCAAATTATATATATAGAAGGGGTATTTTAGTAATTTACCATATATCTCGAACCGCTCGACAATGTAAAATATGGACTTGAGCTCGATTTGAGTTCGTGCTCGAGCCGAGCTTTTACTCGAGCAGCTCAAAGTGGATTTTTTTGGTTAATCAAAGTTAATTTGGAAAAATATAGTATGATTAGTTGTTAGTGGGATTTTGAGTTTATATTAAAGTAATATTTAAAATAAAATAATTAAAGTTGATTTGACATAAAAGTAGATAGAGATAATATGAAATGATTAGTTAAAATTATGTGAGTTGTTAGAATAGTGAATTAAACTAGGACCGCTTATAAAGTTTTATTAAGTCCCGAGAGAAACCCCGACCAACTCCTCTGGAACTAATTTGGTACGTCTGTACCTCAACGGACTCGGACCTTTTTATGGCTAGCGGCCAGAGGACGCTTACTTACCAACGTGGAATGGGCTCGGCGGCATTTATCCACCTTAGCCGATTGCGACCTTTGATGAATTGGTGCTATATGTTCTACGAGACTGCCCAACCGCTAAGACCTTGTGGGCCTGGTTGCTCCCGGTTGATCACGACCGAGAGTTTTTCCAACAACGTCTCAAAATCTGGCTATGCATGAATTTAGGGAGGACACGAATGGGAACGATAGATAATTAGGGTACCCTTTTCTCTTTCACTGCATGGCAAACGTGGGGATGGAGGAACGAGCAAGAGTTTAACCAAGGAAACCTACGCTGCGAGTCGCGACATTTGGAGGTCATGCGGTTGGCTGAGACTTATGGTCGGGTGGCTGCAGCGTGTAGACAGGAGCCGACGTCCATGTCACTCGTATGATTCATTGGGCTCCGCCGGCATCAGGGTGGATTAAGGTAAATACAGACGATGCTTTCGAGAGTAGGGGTGAGCGCGGTCCGGGACGGTCTGAGATTTGACTTGTCCCGGTACCGATCCCACTTTCATGAAATGGTCCGAGAACAGTCCAGTATGAAGCACCGTCCCAAATGGATCGGTATCATTTGGGACCGAAACAAAACGGTCCAGGATCGAGACAAAAGGGACAAACATATCAACTAAACCAAAGAGTATTGATTCTATTAAAATTTAAAACAAACAACCAACATATTGATTCTATGATTTCGATTAAAACACACTCCGATTCAAGCATTCACTTAGACCAAATTAGCAAAGAGTATTGATTTCATCATAAGTAACATACCAATTTATTAAATTTAAGTCACCACTCACCAACATCTAAGATCTAACATAACCATCGTGTTTAGAACCAAATTACCAAATGTTCAGTTTTTTTTTTCTTTTATTTATTATTTTACCGAAATGACCTATTGTTAATAATGTAATTGGTACTATAATACTAATATAAAATATAATAATAATGTATATAATATATATATATATATATATATATGTATATAATATTTTGTATGAAAAAATGAAACGGGACAAACGGGACGGTTCGGGACAAAAATATTCAAAACCGATACCGACATTGTTTAAAACGGTTCGGTACTGGGAACGAGACAAAATTAAAGAGAACCTTTCGGAACCTTATTTTTCGAAATGGGACCACTTCAGTCCGGTTCGGTACGGAAAAATTTGATTTTTTTATCGAAAGCACCACGGGCTTGAGTAGTGCGGGCGGACTACTTCGCGATGAGTGTGGCAAATAGATTGACGGATTCCTCATGAATATTGGATATTGCACCATTACGGGAGCCGAACTGGCTTCAGTTGGTTTCGCCAAGTTATCGCCGAGGTTGATAGTCAATGTGTAACGAAGATGGTCCTTGGTCCTGCAAACAACTATAGGGCTCATGCATCGCTTGTCAAGGCTATACGTAGCATGGTACAACGGGACTGGAGTATTAGGATTGAACACGTGCATAGGGAAGCTAATTTTGCGGCTGACCATATGGCGCATCTAGCGTCTTCTTCTCCGATCGGGTTGCAGAGAACGTCATCTCCCCCAGTAGGTTTGGGAGAATGGCTGGAACATGATATTATTGAAGTGTCTTATCCCCGCCAAGTTCTCGCCGAGCAACCCCTAAGGCCTTCTGCCTTCTTTATTGTACCGAAAAAAAAGTAGATGTGATGTGTAAGAATGATTGGGTAATATTATTTAATAATATTGATAATATTGAGGATAGCGGAGTTGAATTATATTTTGAGTTAGAATGAAATTTTGAGTGAAAATATTTATATACAATCACGCTTTATGTTCTGTTTTTGGACTCGAATTCGGTAAATGAATATGACATTTCTCTTTCTTGTTTTCCTTGCATAAGTTGAATTGACTTGTTTATGCAAAATGCATCTAAGGGTCCATTTTACCCAGAGATGTTAAACAGAACGAGTTGTTTGTGAGTTTGACTCGGCTCGAAAAAAAGATGGAGATCGTTTAATTAACGAGTCGAGTTACAAGTGGATAACCAAGATCATTGAAGTTGTAAAACAAATCGATCATGAAGTTAAATGCTGCTCGACTTTATGCTCTGAAACCATATTTTGTATGGAAGTTTAGAATAAAACAAAACAAATGAGAAAACCAGAATAATATAAATATATATCTTAATCCTTGTATCAAGGAGAACATCAAGCTGCAACAATAGTCAGTTATCTCTTAAATACAATTAAGAAACCAATATCTTAAAAAAATTATAGACAGTAGTTTGCAACCAATTATATGAAAGCAAAAACTAATTTCTCGACAGTAAATCCGGCCTCCTCTCGTTTTCTTTAACAGCTCGAGGTCGGAGCTCTGGAAATCATGTGAATGAGCCTTGTTTTAGGAGATGATTGCATTGGTATCCTTCCTCCTCATCATTCTGAGGTCTCTTCCCTCGGTCTGCTCTTCTCTGTCACATTCTTTTTCCGATCCTTGTACATTGGCTCGCTCGTGTGTAACGATCTACATGGCTGCCTCCTCACAGACTCGCTCGTAAGTCTTCTCGTGGGACTGTCGAGGAACATGGTCGACGAAAAATCCTCGAAATCCCTGGTGGTACCAATTCTGGGCAAACAAGTTGTAATTCGACTTGCTCGCCATCTTGACTTGCAGCTCTCGCCCATCCCCTCCTTTGTCCTACCACATGTATCACGCTGCCTTCCTTCGCCCAACTTGCTCCATAACAAATAATAATAATACTAATAATAATAATAATAATAAAAGAAGAATAAGAAGAAGAAATGGAACACAGAAATATCAAAACCACACAAATGATTTAAGTTCCTTAACCATTCTCCTCCATGTAATGCAGCTCAATAAGGTTTCATCTCCATTTCACACTAACAAAATCAGTAAAAAAAAACAGCCACTACAATGAACAGCCCGCCAAAAGATAACTTCTCTATGACAATGTACCTACTTGACATCGAAAAACCATATTCGAACATGAAAACTACACACAGACGATTCCTCACAAGCTCTCCTGCAGTTGATCGAGAAGCACAAAATCCCCATCCTCACCCCCACCAAACTCGTCACCACCCAACAAATGTATATTCGACATGTAAATTGCGTCATCGAGACACCCCACCTGCCTCAACATCTCCAACACCGACTCCTTAGCCGCCACGTCATCACCTTTCTCCACAATCTCCAGAATTTTGGACACATTCTGATGCTTCGGCTTCCAGCTTACTGACCACTCGGCCGAGGCCGCATTTTTCAGGCAAGAAAGGGCCTCCGTGATCCTCATATTTGCAATGTGGTCCTCCGAGAGTATCTCCCATGTAAACGGGCTGGGTTTCCCTCCCATCTCGCTCATCTGGTCGAACAAAGTCTCCGCCTTTTGGGAAAGCCCGTCTTTCAAATAAGCGCCCAAGAGCAGATTACCTATCCGCGGGTCAAAAGCCGATTTTACCGAAAGCCACTCATCATACATCTCCTCAGCACCCTCGATGTCATCCGATTGGATAAGGGCATAAATCACCGCTTGATACCCATAGTTAGGGATATTTGCAAACAAGGCCTTGTAAATGTTCCATATTCGATAGACCTCCTCCTTCCTGCCCATAGTGCCATATAGGGTAATGAGAGAGTGGTAAGGCCTACGGTTCCAGTCCATAACCCCATTCTCGAGTTCCCTTAGACATTCCTCGGCTTTCTCCAGGAGACCCGATTTAATATATATCGTGGCCATCGTGCTGAAAGTTGTCCAGTTTGGATCTATGGAATTGTCGAGCTCCATCTGCTGAAAAACTTGCTCCATTTTATCCAGGGAGCCTTGGGACCCACAGGAAGAGAGCCATATATTGTAGGTACAGATATCAGGTGATATCCCTTTCTCCTTTACTTCTGATATCAACAACTCCACTTTCTCGTGGTCTTTGAGTTTCAGGTAGAGGGTCATCATCACATTGAAAGGGAGGATGGTGTTGGTGTAGTTTCTGTTTCTCATTTCGTCCATTAGGGACTCGGCTTTTTCCCTCATCTTTGAGCGGACAAACGCGTTTAGAAGAGAGCCGTATATTCTATTGTCTATTGAGGCGTCTGGAATAGTTTTGAAATACTGTTCGGCGCTCGAAATGCCGTGCAATTTCGCAATGAGGTCGAGCTGGATGGCAGCGTCGCCGGAGGTTGGTGTGAACCTCTCTGGCATGTTATTCATCCATTCATATATCTGCAAAAAGCACAAACCTTTTGATGCTAGAATTGAAGAAAAGAACTAGAGTACACGGTAAAGACTAGAGTGGCTCAATAATCACATATATATCTAATAACACGAAATTGGCTTCCAACACTGCATTTGCAATTTCAAGAACAAAAAATTTTGGGCTTTTGATTATGCCCATTGTTTTCAACCTCATATGTTTCTGGCCCCATGACCTGATTTGTGTACCAAGTGATAGCATAGACTATAATCTAATAGGCTCAGAAAGCTAGTAACCTAATGATTCAAGTTTGTAAGTTCAAAAACCACTCACATAAGCAGTGCTCTATTTTTTTCAGTTCCAACCTAGCTCATCATACCCACGCCTGGCAAGGACTACAGTAGGAAGCTACGCGCCAAAATAAAAAGTTGCAGAACCCAGGTAAATTGCTCCATTATATAATAACTCTTTTTACTGACTTTCTTGATTTAAAAGCAAAGGCTTTATCTATCCAGCTCAATATAATCCAAAATAACATTCTTGCTTCACAGTAGACCATCACTAGAACCAAAGCATATGAGTTGAACTTGGGAGTCCTGATGGATGGAAGCAGAAGCTTAACTATTACTTCAACTCTACATAATTTAATGCCTCCCGGAGTTTCTCAAGAATTTTATAACTCCTCATGATTCCCAGAAGATATTTAATCGATTTTTTCTTTTAAAAAGAACAGATCATCAAGGACTTTTCTTTTAATTCTACTGAAAACCACAGAGGACCAATCCACACCTACTGGTCAGTCTTTTTCTTCTCCTTGTTCAATGTCTAGAGGCAAACTTATGATTTAAAAAAGAGAAAAAAAAAGCCTGAGCTTCTGAAAAATCAAATTTACCTCAAGCGCGTGTTTGAACCGCTTTAACTTTCTGAGCTCCTTCACAACTTTGGAAAGCTCCCTTTTTTTTATTTTCCTCCCCTCATTTTCAATCCGACTTAACACTGCAGCAGCCCCAGAATCCGGGTAGTTCAGCATATATACTTCATTGTAAATGCCCGCCCAACTCGGCAAGGCCCTCTTCTCGTAGTCAACTGTTCCGTGGCTGTTAACCCGCGGTGTCGATGAACAAGTAACAAATACTGCGTTTTCCTCATGGGTTTTATAGCCGGTGTATAAGATGGATTTTTTCAGAAAAAAGGTCGGATTTTGAAGGAGCCCGGATGAGAATGACATCGCATTTGAAGCGTAAACATTGCAGTGATTCTGTTTGGGATAATTTGAAAGAGGTTTTGGGATGGTGGGTTGGAGAAGCATGGCGCTGTGTGATTGTGTGAAAAAATTTCTAGGGTGCAGATAAAATTTGGATATTATTTTCTGAAGATATATTAAAAAAATAAAATAAACACAACACAAGTTTATTTTTTGAATTTTAGATATGCCCCTCAAGTTTAGTCTATTTCGAAAGAACCCCACAAAAGTTTATGTTTTGTTTTGGACTCAAATTCGATAAATATAACCTTTTTATTTTTTTTTTTATTTTTTTATTTTTTTCAATCGGTAGGGGAATACTCATAAAACACCAGAATGGTGAAATGTACAAAGGGAAACAGGCCTGAAAAGCCTGAATACATGAGAGTAGTACACAAAGGTGTAGCCTAGAAAGCCTACTAGCAAAAGAGTAAAACACCTTCAACCCACAATCAAAACTACAAACACCTAAAAGCTATCACCACGCACAATACATAAATAAAGATAAAGGAATATTTGATTATATGACATTTCTTTTTCTTGTCTTCCTTGAATAAGCTGAGCTACTAGAGCTATTAAACGAAATGAGTTATTTGTGAGTCTGACCAGGGTCATTTCTAGAAATTTGGAGATTCCAGACAAGTTTGTCTTTTTTGAATTTCTCAATTTGAATTTGTATGGTAATTAGGACTATTTGCATATAGAATTATAGAAGAAAAAAACTTAATTAAACAAGATTATTAAATAAATAAATAATAATTAAAAAATAATATTTTTTCTTATTTTTCTAGACATTGGAATTGATATATTACCCATACGTTATAAAGATCTTTAATAAATTATATTCAAGCAGTCACGAAACAAGTAGAAGAAAATAAAAACCATATCACTGCAAAGAATATTTATTCTAACAATTGTTCTGACTGAACATCATAAGAAAACAAATGAAGTATTTAGGGTCTCAATCCTCACACAAATTACATATTGCTCATGCATTGGTTAATTCATTTGTGTGATGGGTCAAGTCTATATTTCATTTGTGTAAATATGTCAAACCCAAAATAAATACATAATATTGAAAAAAAAAAAAAAAAATTGGGGCCCCAAATATATGTTGATCCTAGGCATGGGCCTAGACTGCCTCCCCAAAGAGCCGGCCTTGAGTTTGACTCGGCTCGACAAGGATGGAGAGTTTAAGTAACAAGTTGACCTCGACTCGATAAGGCTTCATAAGCTCGAAAATAATAATTTTTATATAACATTTTATAATTTGACCACTTAATGCTCGAACCCGACTTGTTAATATTGATGAATGAGCTACTCTCAAGTTCGATTATTGACTCGTTTAGTTAAAAGTTTGGCTTGCTAAAGGGTCGAGCTCGAGTACAATGAATTTGAACTCGGCTCAGCTTATTTATACCCCTAACAAATAATCCTACTCTTGTAGTTATACTGCCTCGATGGAGATTTTAAAGGTCCGATTACAAATGCTCATGCACATACTCGTGTTGATGTTTGTTGATCCAACTTTTAAAATTCCATTGCCTTTACTGAAGGATGAATTTCACATTTTTAAGTCTAAACATCTTTTATGGGATTTGCAGTAGTTAACTTTTGGACTTGTATATTCTATAATTGATCTATAACTAGACTGTATATATGATTGTTTGTGTTGCTTTCATTTTATTTTATTTTTTTCATGATATAATGTGATCAGGATGAGATTTTTAAGCATAGACAGAAATACAAATTAAATCAATGAACATAACTAGTCGAGCAAAGCACTTCAGGGCATCAAATTGTTTGAATTTTCAACTCATTCAAATCTTAATATGTGAATCACAATTGTCTTTGTCACAACTCACAACATGGTACATTAATACAATCATATTTCTTTTGTTACAAAAGATATATTATTTTGATAAAACAGTACTAAAATATTACTTAAATAGGTAAAATAATAATAGTTTAGCATATTATGTAATTTTATAGAGACAATCTGATTTTATAGAATTAGGAGACAAAACATCAGCTCAACAAAAACACGAAAACAAAACGTATCTAAAAAATCGTCACACGACTTTCAAACCACAGTATCCTCAGACCTGGAAGCACCTTCACCTAGCTTTTCCTGCACGAGACGAGTCATCTAAAAATTTCAACCTTTGATTTGGGGTTTAGAATATATGGATTTTTTCAGCAGATGTCTATTTNTTTCCTTTTTTTTACCTTTTTATTTTCTCACAGTTGGGAGTTTCATTACAGCAACTGGAGTTCTTTTTCGACTCTTACCTCTTCAGCCAGAAATTAGCACCCGGGCCAGCTTCTACCGTATATTTCATCATATTTTATGTTTCCATGAACAAACACCTTTGGGCTTTTGACCTGTTGTTGTACACAGAGAAGTTAATAGGTAAGTCGATAGAGTTAAAAATACTCGAGATATATGGCTTTATCCACTTACCAGTGATACTGGAAGATATCCCGCACTAAAACGAAGACCAGAAAATCCCTTGACGCTAAATAAACACTTGTAACCAGTGATTAGATCATGCTCACTGCAATAAAAACAAGAACAGCCAAAAGAAAGAAAGAAATAAAATGATTCATTATTTTGAGACTGAAGAATGAATATTTGAAGCTAAAAGGGAGTAGAAATATAAAGATCCAAAATTGGATCTAACAGGTTTTACTGCTAGATATATCTTTAAACAAATTAGAATTATAAAATGACTTGCCACAAGTTGTTGAGGATTTAAAACTTATGTTAGATGCCTAGAACTATAGTAATGATTTCCACAAATACTTCACCTCAAAAGGTACGTAAAATTTCTATTCTGAAACTCTTGCAGTGGTATCCCTTCTTCTTTTGAGTACCTGCAAATTATTAACCAATGCTCAAAATCAATCTAATCTAAAATAATATATATGGATATTATCTAAATCAGAAACAATCAAGAATCGGTAAATGTTATCAAGCATTACCGCCAAGGCTCATCATTTTCACAGAAGCGTGAGATCCCATTAATGGCTGAGAAGGTGTCAACATGAACCCATACTTCTTTTGAATTGTTTAATTGTCCTGTAAAACACATTATTAAGATCCCGTCCATTTGCATTTTTTTTTTATATTTTCTAAATGATCCCCTGCAACTCCAATCCAAACCAAACACATGAGTGCACATTAAATGCTCAAAAACTTGATAGGCTACAGAACGC